AAGCATGTCTCATGAAGAACAGATGTCCCACTTCTGAAACGTTTCCAGTGGACATTGAAATGTGGTGCAGCCAGACACTGTGTACACTTGGCTTACAACTTGAAAATTGAATTGTGCTATAGATCTGCAAACGATATATGGATACCGTATGGCGCTTTGTCAGTGTCCTGAAAAAGCTGTTGGGTTTTGCAGATAGAACAGTTTACTCAATCTATCACTTGCTGTTAATAAATTGTGCATCATTTTCACACTGCTGCTGTCAGCACCCATTAGGAAATTTAGTTCTGTCTGAATTGGCACTGATGTATGACTCAGCTGGTTGTGCCACAAAAGAAAAACTGATGATAAATTAGGTGAAGCAAACAAAAGTATTTGTTTAAACTGCCTAGAATAGATCACAATCAGTTTGTCTTTGAGTTTTTACTCGTGCGCTTTAGATGATGTTAAACTGTTTTGAAACCTCTGCCACTTGTTGCTGCTAATGTAGCAGCTTTCCAACACATCCTGTTGCCTTTTGTCTCTCTGTAGATGTATGAACACAGCCTCACACTGAACAGCTGACACTGTTTTTCATTGAGTTAACCTTAATTATCCGTGAAGCACAGCTCTTTATTTCGTCTGTTTAAGCAAGATGTTTGTGTTCACAACAGGTGAGAGCAACAACAAGCTGCAGAGGGTCCTCGCTAGAAAAAATTGGGGTGTAAAGGTTCCTATGAACAGAGTAGTGTCACTAGTACACTGCGACTGAAAAGACAGAAGCGCTAAGGACCTCCAGTATGGCTGCCAGATAATGTACCATGTCACTTTGCTTTTTGTACCTTCATTCTCAAATTAGTTCATGACTGTGTTGTTAGAGAAATGCATTGTTTCTGGTTCTTACACCTTTGCTGTACAAATTTTGCAAATGGACCCCTTTAAAAATGTATTAAACGCCACACCAACAATAGATGTTTAAAGTATGTAAAACACCTTTGACTCAAAGGTTGTCTGGTTCACTACCCTGCAAGAATTTTTCCCTAATAGCCAGTTCACAAAGACAGCTTCACATTATCACTTGTTATCTAAGCTTTAAACTCAGTCACAAATACTTACAGCGGACGATAACATGTTTTGGGGCCAATGCATGCCCACTGTTTTCCCGTTTACTGTACGAGTTAACTGCACAAGACTGTTAAAAAAATAAAACAAACAGCAAAACACTTTCAGATTTACATGGCACATTCGTAACAGGCTCATGAGATATTCATGAACAAATAATTTTAAATTCAGCATCATTACACCTTTTATGTACATGTTTACAGAGCAGATTTCAGAATAAAAACCTAGATAAAAATAATTTGTAAGTAGTTCACTCACACACAATCAAAATCACGGTTCTCTTCTAAGCTCAAAGGTTTTTCAAGACAGGTTTAAAAAAAATAATGAAAGCATTAACATGCGTGTCACTTGCAGAATTGGCCTTTTGCTTTTGTGTGCAAAAGTGTGCAAGATTTCCTGCCTAAATGTCTGTTTTATCATTAAAATAAGCCATAATTTAAATGGCTACGGTGAAGTAATTTTAAGTGACTCACTAACGATCTTCAGTTTCAAGTAACACCTTTATAATTAAAGGTTTTGCAGTTTCACACCAGCAAATCATTGTCACATCAATTGTAAGTCATTAGTTAAATTGCCAGGAGTAAAGCTGTCTGATGAAGAGCATAATGCTCGAAACGTCACTTCATTAAAACTTTAGCACAGGAGCCCTGCAGTGTGCGAGCTGTTTATTTTTTCATCTCAGGAGTAAAGCAGACCAATAGAAAAAACATTTAGCAGCTTCTATCAGCCTCTGTACTACACCTCACATTGTGTACCACTGGTCTGGAGTAATATTTGCTGGATTGCTTTAGCCTGGTTCCAAACCTTAGTAGCAGTCGAGCCAGTATGCCCTGGATTTAGGACAGGGATGGCACCTTCTTGGGTCATAGCCAGACATATATATGGGTAGAACAATGGCCACAAGTGTGGATGAGGCTGACACACTTGAAAAGGTTGTTGTACATCAACTCACAGATCTGTGTATTTCTTTAATCATCATTGCATTGTTGCAAATGTTAAGCGCTCTCAGTAACTGCTTCCCCCAGCTTCTGTCTCAACTAAAAAAGGATGTTGGCTGCGGCAAAACAAATACATCCCCCTCTCAAACAGAAAACTAGCAGACTCAAGGCAAGATGTACAGTAGGACGCTTACAAATTAGGTACAATGATTCGTACTGTGCCTGAGTACAATTGCCCCCAGCCCCCTCATTGCCATCCATTCCCAACACTCAGCTTTCTTTAGTAATTTTATTCCATACCTAAGTACACTTGCATCATCATCTACATGACATTTTTGTTGTGCTAGAGTGTGGCAAAGGGCGCTGCAAACAGTGCATTGCTGCCCCAGGGGCCATCATCAGCAGAGACCGGCGGAGCAGCAAGGCGCAGCTCTGTTGCTGGCCAGAGGAGAAGCCACTGCTGTCGAGCTCAAAGCTTTCTGCCTTCCGCCAGCAGAAGCTCCGGGGGCCATTGACTGCAACTCAGTGTAAATATGAACTGTACTTGAGATGACCTTTTCAAGTGGACCAGGGCACGGCTTGCTGTACTGCACCAGTATTCACACTGATCTAACAAAGTGAGCTTTGGGGTCATGTGTACTGGGATCTGGGCCCAGGTCACTGAAGTGCAAACACAAACACAATTCAGTGTGATAATCAGGCTTGGATTGCTTTATGGCACAAAACAGTGGAAGGGTGTATTTCGTCAGCTGCAGACTAAACTAAAACCGGTCTACACTAAAACCGACACAGGAACAGTGAAATGTGGATTTAAATAATCCTTACTATTTCAGTCCCATTCAGTTAATTGAAAGCAAAAACTTTTGTCCGAGAGGAAGCTGGGACATGTGGCCTGAATTTTGAGAAGCACCAGCAACAACAGTCTGACTGGTGTGAGAGGGTACAAGTGGTCTCCGACATTACAGTAATTACACTACCATAAAATTAACTTTTTAATCAGCATAATGAATCTTAGCCATTGGCATGCTGTCAGAGCCTCATATGCTCCAAATGCTAGTGATTATTCTTCATTAAAATGGCAAAATGCTCAGATCTACTTGCCAGATGCCATGTTATCCCATAATGAAGACAGAAAACCCAAAGGATGTTTCAACTTTTCAGAAAAACTGAAAAGATAAAGACCTCTGTTTCACTCTTCATAGGCCATTAGCTGCTGGCAAAACAGTTTCAGTAGACTAGTGCTGCCCCAGACTGAGAATTTTCCTAGTCGACCAATGGTCGTCATTTAGGGCCATTTGTTGACTAGTTACTTGCATGCTTAAAATATTATTTTAATTATTAAATGATATATTTTGGAGGTTTGAGTTGAAGGTGTGAGAAAGAATAGTATCAGTAACATTGTTAACACTGTGCTACATTACAGAGAAATACAAAACCGTACTAATGAACCTTCATTAATATAGGCCTATATTTTATCTACAAGTGCACATCACACACTGAGCGAGCCGCCTGTTAATGACGCTGTGGGCTAATGGGCATGTAGCTACTTCCATGTTTCAGATGATACGTCATGTTTGTAGTGGACCAATGAAGATGAGTTTACATATCACCTTGGGTTCGTCCTTCACCTTCTCAAAATGATCCCACACTTTGGATTTCCTGCCCGACATGTTATTAACTAGCCTGTGGAATAACTGCAGGTACCAGCCCTGGAAATTAGGGGCCGTACACATGCTGCGTCTTTAACCGCCTGGAAAACGCAAGGTCGGGCGCTGGGTGCTGCTCTTGTGCCTTTTTTGTGCCAGCTTTCAAGAGCATAGTGGCAGGTTGCGTCCAAGGTTTAACAAGCATTGTATAGCCTGTTTACCTGAAATCCTGAGTGCAGAGCTGATCTTCTGCCAGGCCCTGTTTATAAGTGTGTCGACCATCGTCCATGGGACAGATGTATGATCAATGATCAACTTTTCTGTATTTATCAGACTGAATATTTACAGAAGGGAAAGATATCTGTCGGCTGTGATTGGTTTGTAACATGACTCCTGTCTGACTGCTGTGCGTGGCCACTTCCTGTGTCTGTCCTTTCAAATTCCCACATGGTCCAGTCATATAGGTTTTGATTTATTTTGACAAGGCACAGCTCCTTACAGAGTTACACTTTTTTTTCTTTTCTTTTTTTTTCTGTGACTAAGTGACCAATGAAATCTACCTGACTAATGACCTTTCTGGTCAACTAACATTTGGGTGACTATTGGAGGGCAGCCCTACAGAAGCCTGGTACATTTTCTCACATTTTCCTCACAAGAATCAACTATTCAGTAGGAAATGTACATTACAGCAATGTAAGTAGCCTGAAAAGCTGTAAAATAATTTGTAATCCTGACTTACTTAAGACTGAGTTACGTTGCTAAGGGTTCATTGTTGTTATTATGTTTAAAAAGTACAGTATGGCTACAGTTTAGAGGTAGGCGGGCTTATTCTCTGCAGTCTGTCAGAAATGCTGCTGTGAAAATCATCCTAACAAAATAAAAGCCTTGATCAAGTTCAGCATCCCTCTGAAGAATTTTGTTCTCTGAAATAAAAATGTGGTTGTGTAAAAGGCCATTATGATACTTGAAAAAGTGTTACTTCAACTTCTGTCGCTGTGCTAAAGTCTTTGATTTGTTGTTGGAGCCCTTTTGAAATCTGCTCTGCAGACATCACTGTACATACATGTTTGATGCATCTCTATACATTTATACATACAGGTTTTATAAGGTACGTCATGGAGCAGGACAGTAGCCTGTTATCAATGCAAGTTATGCAGTCCAACGAAATTGTTTTCCCTTTGTTGATAATTTCAACAGCACATCCTGCTGCCATTTTTAATGCGGCACAATATGTGCAACATACATTGTGTGGCTTAAAGGTGATAAGAAAAGGTTGACAACCAGTATTTTCTTTCTAAGTTGGTAATTTAAACATTAGTTTTGGATATGTATTTATTTCAGGAGCAAACACTGTGAGGTATCCTTCTGCGTTAATTGTTTCTATTGTTCGCAGGTCAGTCAAAACGATAAATTACAGCTTTACGTGTAATCTTATCCAATCATGAACTTTTGTTTTGCCTATTTTATTTTGACAGTTTTGAAATTGCCTCAGACAAATTACACATGAATAGTCAGTGGAGGAATGATGTTCAAAAGATAAAAACATTTTTTCTTGATAAGTGAACGCCTTTGCTTATCACCAAGAAGAATATATCTGTGTCTCCTCAAATAGACACTGCGGTCACACCACCACTGCTGCATGATGCCTTCTCCAGGTCCTCCATGACCAAGTCCTGTTCAGTGACGTGATTGGGTTGCCTGGAAGAGGTCTTATCCAGGCTGTTGAGAGAAATAGGCTCCAGGGACGTTGGTGCATTATTAGCTGGCAGCACGGAGTTTCCCTGAAGCCTGTGCGAGTAGGTTTTCCTCCGCTGTCCGTCCGCACCGCACAGGCTGATCTTAAACACAGCTTGAAATCCTCTGCGGAAATTCTCATTGAAGAAACCGTAGATGATAGGGTTGACACTGCTGTTGAAGAAGGCTAGCCAGTGGGCAAAGGGATAAATGTAAATGTTGATGATCCTGTACTGCTGCTCAGTCAGGCTGGCATAGTCGCTCAACATCATGAGGGTCCACAGAGGTAGCCAGGAGAGGATGAAAAGCAAAGCAACTATTAGAAGCATTTTAATCACCCTTTGCTTTTTCTTTGACACAGTGTGGCGGTTGTCGTGCCCCGGCTTTCCTCCCGTTGGGACTGCTGTTTTGAAAAGCGTAATGCCAATCCGGGCATACATGATCACAATGAGGGAAAGGGGAGCAAGGTAGATATTTGCAAACAGGACAGTGGTGTAAATCTTCCTCATATCCTGGTTCGGCCAGTTCTCTCTACACCAGTAAAACGGGGTCGTTTTGTTGTCATACCCCAGTAACACCCGAATGGTTTGCTCCTTGGTGACTTGTAGCATCACCCCAGATGGACACATAATGGATATGGCCAGAACCCAGATAATGACTATTATCAAGGTGGCTGTGGATATGGTCAGCTTTTGCTTGAATGGGTAGACAATGCATCTGAATCTGCAAAGGGATTAAAAAGAAAAGACTGGATCAGGAAGGTGCATTAAGACATTTAACCTGCTTTTAAAAAAATCTTTTCCACATGAAGTTAGTGACAGCAAAGAGAATTTACTTCAACATTAACTGATTAGAGTCACAGTAAATAATAAAGGGACACATTCACAGGTAGAGCTTTTCCTTTGGCACTTTTGGCTGCACTGAGTCAAATCATGCAGCATTGATTTGTGTTTCCATTGCCCATTTAATCGCACAGAGTTGTGTTGAGCCACGCCAAAGGTGGATCTCAGGAGTTGGGCCAAAAGCATGCCCTAATGCCTCCAGGCAAGTAGTGTTGATGTCTCACTGATCTCTGACCAATTATCCTACCCCCGTTAAACAAGCATGTGTTGTAAGACTAAACTGATGTTCGTGCAGGAGACCAGAGAGAAAGAAGTTTTTTAAGTCTTTGTGTGTAGCTTCTTACAGAGTATCTGTGATTTGAAGTTTAGTTTTAATTTAATCTTCACTTAAAATGCTACCATTTCAAAGTGAGGATTTAATTAAAATAAGTCATTCCGAAGCAGTGTGGACATAGAAATCTGATTTGTTTCCTATCAGTTCTGGCCCACTTTCATTTGTGGTCCTAAGTCCGATCAAACAAATTCAATCATTTGCCATTAAACCACTGTGACAACAGTTATATTGGAAAAATTGTGTGTTTTTTCCCATATAGCCCATTTTTCATGTCATACTTCACTGCACAGGAACAGATCATTTATCATACAGTGTCAGAGCTGTCTGTTGAAACTACAGAAGGATGCAGAAGCTGTACTGCTGCTGTGATAGGCTGCCCCGATAGCTAGCCAATAGAGCATGACTGCCAGACACTTTCTGAAGCTTTCTGATGTGGCCCTAGACATCTTAAAGTTCTGGAGTAAATGTGGTTCTCGGTGAAACCCTCCACATCGCAGCCCCACCACTCCTGACTCCTCCTGCACCTTCACCTCTCTCCACAGAACCACAAGCTGCTGATAGAGCTGTGGCTTTTGTGTTTCTTTGTCTTCTCACTTCTATGCCTTTGTTCCAACGGCTCATAATTCCAAGCCTCTATAGTCTGAAAAAAATATCCTATTTTACGACAGCTCGGTATCTTGAAACAAAGGAGCCATGTGCCCCTTCTCAACATATGGCAAATTGTCTTCAGACCTGTGCAGCAAATCATTCTGATGATGGATGTTTGCACCACTTTGTCATTTTCCCCCCAAATGCCTTTGTCTCAAAAATATGAGTTTGTGTTGTTGTTCCAACATGCATGTTTGTGATGTTACTGGTTGCATGTGAGGCATGTCACGGCAGAGATAACTTCATGCTGATGTCAGATATGGGTCACAGAAAAAACTGGAATTGAGCATTAAGCCTTGTCCTGCAGGGAGGAACAGAACGAGCAGAAACAGCCACCATGAGATGCAGGATGAAGAGCTGCAGACAACAGGCTTTTACTGCTCCTCTGATGGCAGCTCACCTCCAGCAGGTCAACTTCTTTTACCTGCTGTGCTTTGTGATGGAAAAACACTCCCAGCAAAATTACAGAACTTTTAGCCATGGATCGGCCTGCTGCTTTTAAACTTTATTGACTCAAGAAACGCGCACTGTCAGTTAAAGGCGTCCCTTCAAGCGGGTAGCCCTGTTGTAATGGAGATGCAAATCCCTGTTGCTCTGGGCTGTCAAGCCAACTCAAGCCAAGCCAGCATGTGTGTGAAAAAGCAATAATGGAGGGGCTGTCGTCGGGAGACGTGGGGTCACACTTGTATAGATGTTACAAACAGTATTTATTAAGTAACAACGAACAATTAAATGAAAGCAAATACACAAATTTTGACTGTTGGACTGCTGCTCTCACTCTGGTACACTCATGTTCAGTGTTAAATAAAGAACACTGATGTCTCTGTTCATGCTTAATTTCCCATTTTCCTGTCTGTGTAACGCAGTTTTTACCGCAGACTGATATATGAACCTTCTATGACCCTGAGGACATCTGGGGCTGGCCTATTGACTGTCCCAAGAGCCAGAACAAAACATGGTGAAGCAGCATTTTGTTATCATGCAGCACAAACCTGGAATAACCTAGCTCAAAATGTTCCTTTTCTACACTGCTTACTCCACCCTGTAATGACTGCAAACTTATTGTTAAACTCAATTTTAAATTATTTTAAATAATCTTTGCACCTCTTATCTGCACTCTTGCTCTGTGTTTTTTTTTTTTAAATTGTTAATCATTTACTAATTAATTTCACCTTTTATATCTATTTTTCTCTTTAGTCTTTTATTGTAAATCTGTATCCTTATTCATGTTTTATATTTTATTGCTCTGTAAAGCACTTTAAATTGCCCTGGTGTATGAAATCTGCCACACAAATGAAGCTGCCTTGCCTCGCAAATCAATTTTAAAACATCAGGAGCATAATTAACCTAGATCTCCTTGATACCATCACTGTGATCCACGACTAAATCGGCACCTGTTTATAAAAAGGTACATAATGTCAACAGCAAACTGTGCACAAATGTTTTTAGAAAACCTTTTTCACAGCTGATTTTTTAACCTGTCAGTGGGAAAGCACAAGCGTTGCTAACGACACTTTGTTCTATTCAAGAGTCCCAGTGTGAGCAAGCATGCACAATACCAGGATTCTGAAATTAAAGCTGCTTAATTGAATTCAGCCATTGTTAATTTCATTATTTGTACTTGTGCTTTTCTTGCTGTGAAATTGTTGTCCATAAAAGAGCCTATGGTGCTGAACAGCTTGTGGAACATTTGAGATTTTCAAGGACTGTTGTTTTGAAGGTCTGTGTAATTTTTCTTTGCACAGCACTGCTTCCTGAGCCTGGGAGGAGGGAGACAAACAGCATGGAAGTTTGCACTGAGATCAGCCTGAAATGTTATTTAAATTCTCACGGAAGGCAACTGTACATTTTTATATTTGTCGATCCGCTGATACAGGTGTGCTCTCTGTATTTTTCCATCTGCATGTGTCTCCCTGCAGTCGAGCAACGCAGTGTGTCTAAAGTTGGCAGCCACAGTCAGTAGTAATAACAGCCTGAATTTTTTATCACGCCTTTCAAGGGCCCTAAGGACGCTTTACATATAGGAAGGCAGAACGAATCACACACCAATAAGAAACTGCGATATGGCCCATAAGCTGTGACTGCTATTGGGGTTGCTACTGTAATGTGCTTTCTGGCCTTCCTTTTGATGTCAGAGCCATTGCTGCTGTCACTTTGCAGAGCTGAAAACATGTATGAGTAACCACAGCAGTGACCATCTAGCCATTCTTCTTTTATTCTTATTCTTATATATTCTTATACTGTCAGAGACATCTTACCTATTGACTTTACTAAATATTTTTAATTAGATATGGAGTTGATACTTGCATGCTCACATGGATAGGTTTGACACTAAAAATCCATCTCCACAGCAGCTTAATGCAAAACAGACAAAGGTATTACACAGAACACCTATACAATACTAATTGGCAATACATTTACAACTGCACATGTATATCAAACGGTTAGTGATTTACTGGTGAAAACATTGTTAAACTCCTCATGCAGAGACGCAGGAAAATGTGTTCACTCTGTACAAACACTCCTATAGATCGACCTTGGAATTTGAAAATGGGTTGCTGTTATAGGAGCTTTCTGCATGATGTTGAACTCCATGTATCTTTGAATCAGCCATCACTGTCAGACACTATTAATTTTTCAATGTATTGTCTGAATGAATAAACATAATTCTATATGATATGACTCATTCAAGAATGTTTATTTGTGTTTATACGTGGGTAGGTTTTGCTTTCATAGTCACCAGCATCACAAAACCTTTATCCACAGTTACTTTTTAACAGACAAGTAAAACTGCAGAAGCCAGCGCAATAAACTTAAAGTAGAGATTTTAATGGTTAGCCATTAACTGCAGAGAGAATTTTTGATGCCCTATACAAGCGGTACTTCCTGGACCAAAGCATGATGCAGATTTCAGTGCCAGATTGTGTGCGTAGCAAGTGTATAGCCGAGAGAGAAGAAAGAGTGTGTGTGTGTTTGTGATGGTGACGGTGAGGCCGCATATAAGTTAAACATAGCAGTGCAGTGTGTGTACAGTTAAGACTTTTTGTCAGTGAATAAATGCTACAACCCCTCAAGATCCAAGCCAAGCCCCTGTGTTTTGCTTGCCATCTTGCCTTTTGTATGTCACATCATTTTGCTTTTGTTTCTTAGAATTAACTGGTTGGTTACAGGTTAATGGAAGTTGGGCTACTGAGAGAAAAATTAACCAAAACCTATATCCGTAACTTCAAGTACTAGACTACAAGTACTCATTATGCAGCATTATAGTCCCAGTTATGTATTGATGTATGAACATATAAGAAGCCTTTTAACATTGCAGTTGGTCTTAGTATAAATCAGCACACAAAAGAAATGCCCAATTGACCTTTCGCAAAGCCACGCCACTTTGTGATGGTCCGACAAGCTGGGCTCTAGTTTCCTGGTGCAGCGCAGGGTGGCGCAGGGTGGCGAACCCCACGCAGAGCTAGTTTCGAGCAGCGCAACCCGATGCGCGCTCAGTTTGGTAGTTTAGCAGACCGAGGTGCGCTGAGATGGGTGTGGCGGCGCGGCGGGGGGAGGTGTCGACAGATCCAGCTTGGCGCAGTGACAGTTTCGTGCCAAAAGGCTTCGCCGAAGGTGCGCTAAAAGCTTGCCAGCTGAAACCAGGTCTACTGTCAGCGCAGGCAGAGCGCAGCCGGTGTAAGCCGAAGTTTGGCTGACCGGCGGACAGTGTGCACACGTCACCAAAACCTCACAGGCAGGTTTCCAGAATATCAGGCACATTAACGATGCAATAAATA